GGGTTATTCCCATAACGACATCACTAAGCTTCTCTATGTCCTCACCTTCTAAACGGTATTTACCCTCCACCGTTGACTCCAATTTTAACATCTCCTGGTTTTCATCAACATGCCCAAAGGCATCTTTAACCAGGTCATTCACATTGTAGCGATACGTTAGCATCCACCTACACAGCCGCAGGTGCCAGTGAGTTGGTCGCAAGGAAAGCATTAATTTCAAGGTTAGCCAGGCCTATAACAAGTCAAATTTCTAGTGAAATTACTTCTGAGGCGAAAATTTATGTGCAACTACAATCTGTATGAGTATACTTCTAAACTGTCAGTAATGACCAAATACGGATTAGTTGAATAATAAGTAAATTTAATATACAAAGACCCGGATGTTGTGGCCTCTGTTATGATCGCAGTCTCCTTTCGATTTATAAAAGTGGGTTGACCTCGTTGTCGCAACTTGGTCTTGTTGTCAGGGGGACTATGTAGAACGAACCTGGTCCGAAGTCGTCTGCCATAATAGTTGTCATGATTCCCAGCATCTGACAGTGGACTTGATGCATTCTCAAACGTTTCGCGGGCATCGTAGACGGCAGCATCAGTGAATTTTGCCATTCTCCGCACCAAGCTACGAACTCTCGCTGACAACGATGCCGGCGAAACGTTTGAGAATGTATCAAGTCCACTGTTAGATGCTGGGAATCATTATGACAAATACTATGACAGACGACTTCGGACTAGGTGCGTTATACATAGTCACCCTGACAACAAGACCAAGTTGCGACAACGAGGTCAACCAACTTCAACAATTAAATTTTTTCCATACTTATATAGAAAGGCCTCATGCTTACATTTAACCTTGCTTGCCAAAAGGTAGGACAAAAGTTCTAAAATGTCTTAAGGTCTCCACTATTTCCACTGTAACTAAAAGTAGATTTTCTCTCATCTGCAACTAATGTAGAAGATGAGATTTATTCACCTAATTTCGTTTGAGGTGATGAAGGACTAGTAGAAGAATTTTCCCACAATCATATCAATAGAGCTGACGTTTCCATTGAATTTCACATAGCCTTGCTTTCCCAAAAGTTGTTCTCATCCAGGCACCAGTAGACTGCAGTTTCGACCTCGTTCGGTCTTATCAACACCCCAGCGGGAGTCGAATAGTGACAGTGCAGAATGGGAGCTTGACACGTTAACCACTCGACCACATTGATACAAGTGCCCTTGGGTCACAGGGCAGATGTGAATTTCTAGGAAGCCCACGCATTTTGCCATATTATATTCTTTGGTGGGATTTTCGATGAAGCAATCGTATATTTGCTATAAAAATCGACTACGTTACGTATATTTCATGTTTGAGTAGAGTTTCGAGACTACCAGTAAATCAGTAATATGAGATGTCCTGCTGGGGGAGTGGGGGGGGGTTAGGAGACTTAGGCAAGGTCGAAACCGCATGTATAGGAATGTCTTTGGGGGAGCATGGCTGTGTGAAATCCATTAAAAACGCGTAGAATGATTTCAACTACCAATCCTTCATCATCTAATTAAGCTTAGGGTGACTGAAACTCTTATTCGAAATGTACTGATCGTTTCGAAATATACTTTATGTGAATTAAAAGGTTTATTTACTTCAGTCTGCCTTGGATAATAATATCCTTAAATAGGTAGGCTAAGTCAAAATCGTCGACATCGTAAGGCCTACTCCTACAATTATGGGAAAACTACCTTATCAATCTTTTAATAACCTAGTCTGATCTAGAGCAATCAGGTTCTTATCAAAAGGATTAATTTTGCTTTCCAAGCAAACTCTCGTCAGATTTTTCCTCTTAATTTCTGACAGGTTCAAGCTTTGCCAGTACAAGTTGTGAGTAAAGATGACTTTGGTCGGTACATTTGCATTTTTCCTTAAATAGTACATGATTTCTAAGTTTTTAGCAAAATTAAAAACTAATGGGCTTACTAGTGTGTACATTATGTGTAGTGAGAGGTTTCTTGGACGACTTTTGTCACATTAACTTAGAGCTGGCCTTTTCCACATATGACAAGTTCTCTTCATCCTCCGCATTTTTAACTTATAATTAGGGTTTCGAGGATATCGGTCTCATGCATCCTCAACATAAGTTACAGGTAAGAGAAAATCTTGAAAGATCTATACACCACCCAATCAGAAATTTTACTGTGCAATGCGATCACCTTCGAATATTGTATGCCTTAAGGCACTTTACATTTTTAGTCCTATTTGGATGCCTGAACTTCTTTCCATACTTGGACACATCTAAAGCCTTTATTTGAATTCTTAGTAAAAGTTTACTTATCAAAACCATGAGAAACGTAGATAAGCTTTTGATGTTTTTTCTATTCGGACATGATTCACCGATAATTTTCACTAGAAACAGTCTTAAACATGCATTTCCTGGCTCAAAAGAAGCCCATTGCCAGCCCATTAATTAGTAGGCAAATAAAATAGGATGCATACTAAACTTGAGAGTGGGGAAATACAGCATTTACGAAGCAAGCAAACTACATTTAACAGAATGCGGATTTTAAGCTACTACCCAAGAGTAAAACCTATACAAGTAGGCCTGCTTTTTGTCTATGCGAAGTTAGCTCATATAACGTTATCTTCAATCACTTCATCGTATAAAGAAGAAGCCTATTTCAAGGTTTGCAGATGGTTATAAGAACTGCATTTATCGTTTGTCTTTAAATCATTTCGTCATCACATTTCCCGCCACCTCTCGCCACATGCAAAGCATCACTTGCTGACGTGCTTTCCTCATTATGGGGGAAAATGGAGTGCAGAACCCGATCCAGTTTTATCAAATTTATTTGTTTGCCTTTTATATTTACTCAGTCTATGAGAATATTTCATTTTCTTTCATCTTCAATACTCATACAAATTTTCCTGCCCGTGCAACATACTTTTTAAATCATGGGACTGTAGAAAAATGTCGGATAACTACTTTCTTACGTCTTGCGCCTTGCCCCTCAAAATTCATAATACAAATGTTATACTTACCTCGATATATTCCTACTATCACTTAGTCTATAGTAGCATATATTTTTTGGCTAAC